GTGATGAAGTCATGCTGCCACGGCTCAACGCGCTCTCCATCAGCCCATCCTACTCGTTCACCCTCGCCTCCCTCTGCTCATTCTCCCCTCATCGAGTGCTCCGTTCTCGGTTCTCTGCTGTAGGCAAGTTCTTTTTCTAACAGCGCTCAACTCTGGGTAACGTATGTGGAGTACTCCCATCTTTCTCTCAGCAATCTCAGTCCTCCTACTCATAGAGAGGAGAGAAGGCCGATGTTGGTTATCGAGACTAATCTGCCTACTCTTATTTATCCGCCGGTGCGTTTTCCAAAATCTGATGAACTGGTCGTGTTTATCCAGTATGTTTCCCTACCGCTCATTGTCACCATCTCTCCTGAGTCTCACCATTAATCATGGTCTCTTGTGGAAGAAACAGATTCAAACAGTGGTGCATTAAAAATGTTATCTAATGATGAGAATTTACTGTTTTCAACCTCAATTTGCTTGAGATTAAAACACAAGTTGTTTCTTTGTCACCAGTTCCGGGTTCTAGGATTTCATTTTCTTCTGACCTCACCTTTCAAACTCTGAAGGAGTTATAACTATATCTGATTTCTTCCACTATGGTTTTAACCGGCCAACTTTCGTTTGATCTTCATACTAACGTCATTGAAATCTCATCGGACACTTTTTTGAAACATATCGTTTCTTAAGCTCTAATTGTTCATCTAAGTGCTTAAGCAACTGAAGTGAAAACATCGTTTACAGTAGTAGTTATCATCACACCACAGAGATCATTTCTGAAGGTTACAACGTCAAAAACTTAATGGGTGGCCTGTTCTTGAGTACGTTCGTTAATCTGACTCAGTCTTCCTAGTACTCTTATTTCGTTGATCCTGACGTGAATGTTGTACAATACACAGTGTGATTCGCGATGCTGCCCGTAGTTGTCTATTTGTTGTAATGCTTTTAACTTCTTCTAATTCTTTTGTATTCCAACGTGCAGTTTTCGTCCTTTAAATATCGTGAGCCATTATTGCAGAAGGAAATATGAGGAAAACACCTATGCTTTTCGTGAGGTATCTGGTGTCAACCTCAGTGATTGTGGATCTTCTGAGATGTTCTGTGAAGAATAAACATTCACTTTCAACTAAATATTTATGACGAAACATCCAACTTAACAGAAAGCATTGCTGCGAGTGCTCATGACGCCCTCGTAGATCCGAATTGAGTCCAAAGTGGACTTTTACCAGTTCATACAAAACGGCCTGATTGGTCTACCACAGAACTGCCCATGTGTGGTACGTTACTGGAACTACTGAGCGATGACCACTGTGCGTTGGCGAGTTGTGCAAAATGTTTGGAGAAAGGCGAAAAATCCACTGATGATTTTGGTCTTTTCTGGCTTTTTACTTGCAGCATGGGAACTGTTTACACAGGATTCATCGTCAAGGTATTCTCTGAAGAACTGAGAACGTTAAGTAGAATGCGATCACATCTGTAGGGAACTGAGAGCAAGAAGTAATCCATCACTCTAACGAACAGTAGAACACCTGTCATTATAGGAGGGAAGATTCCACTCGGAACTTCGGCGGTGTTAGTCTCGTCAGACTTTCATTTGTTGTCTTTCGTCTTTGTTTTTGAGAATCAAGACGTCAGAAATTTTGTTTTTGAAGATCACAGAAAGGACTTTCCTGTTTCATAATAGATTTGTGTCTGCTAAGAACATCTACCAAAAATAACCGACAATACCCATGGGGACCACCTAACACTATTTGTTACGAGCTTCGTTGATGTTCTGTTTCCACTTATGTGAATATACAGACGAAAGTGTAACGTAGGCACCGCTGTTTTGAACTCAAAAATTTTTTTTTGCACCAATGTGCTGCGCTATTTATTGGAAAAGTACTTATGAAAACTTATGTTAAAGTTTATTATTGGAGCAGTCGAAAAGAAAATGACAAAATCTTATGCTGAAGTTTGGCATATTTTTAGCGCTTTCTAATGCAAACCCCTAAAGGCTACGTTTCGCTCACGTCTGGCGATAAACACAAGGAAGGTGGCGTAGTCAACTGGAACTGTATACTTCTGTGTAGCGCTATGATTCTTAGAATTGCTCCCACTCGCTTTCAAACTTCGATAACTTGCATGGACATGGTAATTCTTTCCATCAAATCGATTTAGTGGGAGAAGGTCCTTTTCGATGTCTCATCTCTACTACACGACCTGTGTGAGGTCTCCATCTAAAAACATATGTCAGGTGTGCTCCGTGCCGCAGTTCGATACGAGCTCGAAAATACAAAACTCAGTAAGACTTAAATGTCGTACGGTCACAATAAATAAGCCACAAGCTGGAGCTACATGAGTGTTTTGATTGGCTAACAAGATCATCGCAGAAAGTACTTGAGTACTACGAGACGGCATTCGATGGCGTTGAAAGAAAAGTCTCGCAATACCCTCTCTAACTACATCGATAATAATTCAGCCGTTAGTTGAGGAAATTTCGTTACTGCACACGCTTATGAGTTATAGTATTAACATACTATGTTATGGGCACGGGGAAACGCAGTGGTTAGATATACCATTGCAATACACGCATCGTCGCTGGTTGATAGCACCCGAACCTAAAAGCTAATCCAAAAACCCTCATTGTTGACAAATGTGAAATAACGAATCGAATGACAGAAATCCCGACATCCCCATGACATATGCAGACGTGTAAATAAGTAAACACATTACGCCTTATTAAAATTATTAATCTTAAAAATCACCTTAAAAATCAAGATTAAACTAGGGATATCTGGGTAAAAGTGGGGAGCCAAATGGCCTATATACTTGGCTACTTGGGCGGCCCGTCCTCACTAATAGTGCGGGCGCCAGTATAATCTCCACTTTTCGGAGACTCACCGGCTGAGCCATTATGTTTTTCTGGGATCCCTAGGTGAGCCTGGCCAAATTCTGTCCTGGGTATACGATCTATATAGTGCTGGAATAATGGCAGCAGGTCATCCTTTGTTCTTGGAAAAATATTCTGTTATTGGATCGATAATCGATCGTGGCGGAAAAGTCCTGTCATAGCATGACATCCAGCAGTGGCATATCTGCCGACGTGGAGCAAAAGTATCATCAGCTAATTTCACTACTTACACAATATTCCTCCATGAAGATTTTCAAAAAACCAAGAACTTGCTAAAATGCTAATTTCCACGTTTTTTCGTCCAATTTTTCTTTTAAATTTTGTTTTTGCTATCAAATTTTTATGCAGTATTGATCGTGATATGTGCACTCGCCTTATCATAGCTATTGAATTATAGCAGTTTACTGTTAGCCGTATCGCCTTTGGTGGATTCTTATGCCCTGAATAGTACCTAACTCTGCTGACACGAACCCGTCACTGCTACAAAGACGTCTTAGTGGTTCCAATAAGCGTTCGGTGCACCTTTGCGCTCGATCGACGAGATCCTCAGAGAAACCGTTTGCCAGGGTTCTGCTAGGAGGGCGACATTTCTTAGAATTTTGAAAGCTGTTCGTTTTTGAACTATGGGAAGGGGTTTCTCGAGACGGTGTGATGTGACGTGATCACTTATTACTTGCTTGACATTCCTTCGGTGTTCATACTGAATGTGTTCTCTGCGTACATTTCGATACTTGCACTTCAGACTTTTGTCTTTGGTAGCGGTAGAGGCTCATTTGTTGCACTCGCCTTCCTCCCTGAGATTTTCCAACGCAATGTGTCAAACACTGTTGAATGGATAAAATTAACGTCATCGTTCATGGTTGTGAAATGAAATGAAATTGGTTCATTTTTGCAGGATAAATCTAAATCATGTTTCTTTCTAGGTTTTCCTCATAGCTTTCCTGTGAGCTCATAGATAAGGTAGTGAGAGGATTTTTTCTCGGATGATCGCCGTCTCTACCAGTGCGAGATTGTGTGGTACCAGTTTAATTGGTGCAGTGAGGGGGAACCTCGTTGATGGACTAAACAGAAATTGTTTGGGTTGGACAATTCTGTACTTGTTGGCAATTCATCCAGTGTTTCCTGTTCGTCATTAATCTCAGCGATCATCTGATTTCCTTGTCATGCGTGCTCTTCAACGTCAACGCTTTCGTACGCATTCGTAATTAGAGCTGTTGTCATTTATATGACTTTGTTACGGAACTCTATCATTTATAAGTCAAAATATGACCGCCCAGCGAGCAGAACGCTTGTTTTTATTAAAGAGATATCCTAATCTAAATGAGTAAGATGGATTTCGTCGCCGTTGAATCCATAGCGCGCGAACGTTCGCAGTTCTGCAAACAGGAAAAAATGCCGGCGGCTGAGAGAAATGCCGAATAAACATCGCCTCCTCCCACACGGACGTCTGTCCGTGCGCTCTCCTCTGCTTTTTCGTGAGGCCTTTCCCTCCGAATACACACTCCTCTCTCCCTTCATCCTGAGCGTTGTAATCTGCTCGCTGCTCCCACGTTATCGATCCATTGGAATCCGGATTTCAACGACCGAGCGTAGCGCTGCTCTTCGAGTGTTCGCCCTAAGGAAGCAAGAACACCTAGCGGACATCACTGATGCGCAACCACGCATCCACCAGCATCCTCACACGGTGCGTTGCCAATACCATGGCATAACCATTCGTTTACAGGTTTAACGATCATCTAGCCTCTCATCAGACTTCCAAGAGATACTAATACTGGTTATTAATATCTTGAAACGTTCTATAGCGCTTGAAGTTGTTAACAGCATCGTTAAGTTGCTTATATCTTGTGAGATCGCGGTTGATTGTGTCGTTTTGCTCTCTATCATTATAAGCACGCCATTCTCCCAGGAGACACCTTGAATACATATTCATAGTCTTTTTAAATTTCCTATTGTGTGTTCCAGGTAAACCGGGACATCCCCCTGTACGCAGATATCGGTCCGTGTTGATTGTGCTTTCGGGGGAGACCATCTACGCATCGATCTCCCGAATCACTGATCGATCGTCGACGCTTTTCCTCACTATATCAATCGATCTTCTCGATCGGTGTCCAACTTCCAATGGGAAATGAATGGCGGTCGGTTTGATTTCGATGATGGTGGTACATACGTTGGTGGCTGGGAAGAGGGAAAGGTTAGTCCAGTTATTACCTCCGAAGGTATCACTTATACCCTTAATTTCAAATGAATTTCTTTCCAGGCACATGGCCATGGCGTCTGCTCTGGTCCTCAAGGGAAGGGCGAATACGCCGGTGCCTGGCACTATGGCTTCGAGGTAAGTCTTGTGAACAGTAGTCGAGCTCTGCTGCAAAGTAGTCCAATATTTGAAACTAAATACTGGACCTGATTGTCCAACTATAGGTGTCTGGTGCCTACTACTGGCCATCTGGGAACACATATCATGGTCAGTGGCAAAATGGAAAGCGACACGGGTTGGGTGTGGAGCAAAGGGGGCGATGGACCTACAAGTAAGGTCTTCACCATTTTCCTGCAGCCACTTTTCTTTTACATCAAAAAATGCAACGAATATGTATGCCGTTATGAAAGAATGCTAAAATTTCGTTCCGAGTAGGAAAAGCTTTCCTGTCAAGAGATCCACTAAACTTTAAGCTTCGAATCGGATGCAGAGCAGTGAAACGTGATGCCACTATTCGACAGCGCAGTATTCAATATTTTAAGGAAATAGGAATAGGAAAATTAGTACCTTGTACATCAGACGGCTCCTGAAATTGGTGCGAGAATTAAACATACCCTTACTATTCACAAGCGCAATATGAATATGGCAGCATATCTCATCCAAAAATGAAAATGGTCGGTGCTGGTAACTCGACCATTTATTCCTTGTAGGTTTCAGTGCACTATTTTATCCCACCAAGGATAACCCGCGTTTTACTGCCTTTTCCAAAAATGAAAAGTTTACCTAGGTAATGGATTCGGGGTTTTGCAGAGGTGAATGGACGCAAGGTCAGAAGGGACGGTATGGAGTACGGAATTCGGCTACTTCTCAGGCGCGGTATCAGGGCACCTGGTCCGGAGGATATCACGATGGCTACGGCACGGAGATATACGTGGATGGCGGTGAGTTCATGCAATACCCTCTTAATTGCTTAACAATTAGGCCTTCCAATCGGAACAGCTGCTCAGATTTCGTTCACTGTCAGATGATTGGGTAATCGTTGACATCTAGTGAGTTATGTGCACGCATCACATCAAACTCAAGCACCTCACATACATCGTGATCCACCACATTTGTGGAGCCTTGTCACACTTTCTGCTTCTACTTTCCAAACGATACTCCTCATCTCCTTACAACTTATTTCTCATTTGTTGGCAGTGTTGGCACTTCCAGTGTCACACCAAAACAGCTAATTGATAAACGTCTGCGAGATTTTATTGCTGCTTCGTGAACGAACACAAAGGCCAGCAATGACGAATTACCGCGCCCACATATACTCTCCATTTCATGTGTAACGGTTTTAATGAATTGAGCAAAGAACAATTGTCTGTGAATCGAATTAAAGCATTGATTTGTATGATTTTGACACGAGTACACAGCAACAACACCGATGATTACGCCGGAGATGAACTCTAGAATTTCTTTTGAGGTTCAGATTGTGAAATTCTTTTATATCCTGGTTGTCACTCAGGGTACTTGATCGACAACCATACTAGTAATGTGCGCCTTCGAATAGTGAAGACCTGCGTATTACAAAAATACGTTTACATCAAGCGGTTTTTTCCGATAATGCGTTCAGGTGAAGTGTAGTTGTGAATTGGTGATCGTTCAAGGCAACTACCAGGGCCAGTGGCTGCGAGGGCTGCGGCACGGTTACGGTACCCGACGAAGTGCCCCGTTCGGCCAGGCGGCCAAGTTGCGGCCCAAGTCTCAGACGCACGCCTCGCTGACGAGCCTCCGGAGTGGTCGAGGCGCCGATGACGACGACGACGACGACGACACAAGTGAGTCCGTTCGCATTTCCAGACTGTCCTCTACCTGTCGCGAGCAGCATTTGCTATTCTACCCTAATTCTTTACACCATGTGGTGATCGTTACCAATCGTCCATGGCAAGGTTTTTTTTCAGAGGAACAACAGAATGGAAGAAGTGGTTTCGTACTGAAAGCAAATAGCAATGCACCAGCTAGGCGAAGACGGTAAGGGTCATCACGTCACTTTTAGCGTTAATCTGAGTGTTTTGTGTGAACTTTTAGCAATAATTTGTACAGAAATATTCAACTGAAGTGCATATCGTAATTATCAACATAACCAAACAAAGTTGGTTGGTTATATTTCATTAGATATAGATGTCTTTCGTTACGTAGTCATTCAAATCTCTTTTCACCGAAACGTTTTTCGCAGTCATTCAAATCTCTTATTGTCGAAAATGAAAAAGAGGGAGGAGAGAGAGGGCGATAGGTAGGTGGGTAGAAAGAGAGGGAGAAAAAGAGAGAGAAAGATAGAGAGAGATCTATCGGTGGTTTTGGTATTAAGATGTACGTGGTTTTCTTGTTCAGCAATCGCGAGCTTGTTATACGGCATACATTTGCTTCTGTACAAAAAACACATACAACGCAACAGTAGCTGACGTTTCGGCAGTATGGCTTTCTTCAGAGCCTGGAAGGGGATATTGATACTCAATGTAATACGCTTCAATAACACACAGAAAGATGAAAATCTAAGTGGCAATCACATAATCAACAGCCGCGATTGCTGGACAAGAAAACGACTTATTTTTTAATCCAATGCTGAGGTTAATGAGGTTAATAGAAAGTCGATCCTGGAAACTAGGATGTGTTTTCTTTTGTAGATCGCTGTCGGAACGTTCGCTGGCAGTGAAACGAACACTGTTATCTGGTCTTCGGATAAAGAAGCAGCATTCGACGGGGGACATACATCAGCGAGTCACAAGTATGACCGGTAGGATCATCTAGAGAAATGTTCAACGCCGCTTAGTGGACTCGTGTGTGACGCCGCACTCTGGACATCGTTGAAACGCGTGCTATACTAGTTAAAAGCGAATTAATTATTTAGCAGATGTATAAGAAACCGGAATTTCTTTGTCAAAACTCTTGTCAGTCAGGGTTCAATCTTCGTATCGTTTTCACATCAGTATGTGACCGTTAATGACCTTTTACAATACCCTAGATCACTAATGCCACTTGTAATCATTTTTACTGTAGAGTACTTTTAGTCCTAGTTGTTCGAAGGACACGAAAGGCAATGTAGCCACAAACAGCTCTCGGGGCGTTCCATGACATAGGTTCTCTCCTACAACCTGAACTGAAACCACGCTGCACATCGCAGTTTGACACCACGGAACACCTCCCAATCAAGAGATATTGTAAAGTGATTGGTGCGGATTATTAATGACTAGAATTGCTAACACATTAGCGCATTGCTGGTTTTTCGATAACCACAGGTAATTCCCTCATAACTGGAAGACCTACGAATTTTAAAACTTTACAGCCTTCTAGGAGAGATTTAGCTCTATAGGGTCTCTTCTAAAATGTTTTTAATTTTTACTTTAAAGTCATGATATCTTCAGAAAGAAGGATTAGAATTTTTAAGGAGGTTGCGGGCATCAACCACAATTACTTGGGAACACGGACATATTATTTAACACGTAAAAGGTCATTGTGGCTATTCACCCGGTTTACCGTTAGTTTGCTGACATATCCGTTTGGTAGGGCGCGTGTACCACAGTTGTTGGAGGTGCCCTGCAATGGAATCGATCCTCGCACCCATGGCTCACCAAGCTTTCCATCCCTCCGGGGTCGGCAGATTGGTAGCAGACCTGTCTGGGAAAGATAGCAACACTGACTCTATACATTGGTAGGACACCGCGACTCATTGTATAGGCCATGTATGCATTCAGTCACTTCCAAACGATACTTAGTGACGTCGAATGCATGGCGTATTCCTCAGGGATTGATCAACGCAGAGAGCTTTACTTTTTTATCCTTTAGTAAAACCACCATAGGATTTGATGCAAGCCACATAGCTCGAAACACTTCGCCATTGTGAGAAGAACAGAGTTATCCAAGGAAGTCACAGCTAAAATTTTATGGATTCTAGAATTGTTGGCAATAATCTTACCATTGATTGTATTGTGAGTGAAGGCGGTCGTTGACATGGTATAGGGTAGATATTACGGTAGCCTGCTTAGCTTGCTAGCTTTTGCTATTCCATAATTCGTGCTATTGGTTATACTTTACCCAATCACCTTTATGACTGCCTACTATTTTGGTTGTATTAGGTTTTTGTATTGCTATTATCTATCCAATTCCAGGAAGTCTTCGGTCAAGTGGTAGCACAATGAGTTGCACATCGGAGGATTCTCTTCATCATCACCACCACAAGGCGTTCGTGAGCGCCGAGGTAACCACTAGTGCTCTTAGTCGCCTTTAGCGAATATTTCTGACATTTTTGCATCAGTCTGCGCCCAGAAAACGTATCTAGTTCATGCTAGCTCAGCCTTTTCGATATTCTAATCCCTCTGCTACGGAATTAGAGGCATTTCATGCGACGTCACTTTTGAATAATTCGAATTCTTCTATTTTAGACCTCATCTACTCCCTTATTTTTTCACGTTCAATTAAGATATTATGTAAATATTGTGGTTTCACAAGTTGGGTATGAGTTGTGAGCAGCTTTCGCATTCTTTATCAGAACTGCTCGCTTTCATTGCATTTCTCCTATTTTACAGGTCCTCATCCTATTTGGTGTTTAGTCCTTTTAGTCCTCTGCAGAACTTTCCTTCGTACGTTCTCTAACTGAGGTTTTGTCAATGTTTTATTTTTACGGTGATTAATATGAGTCCCAGCACGTTTTCCTTCTAGACGCTATGTCGTTGACTTGGCAAAGTTTTTCTCCTAGATTTTCGAAGAATCAGTATTAGGGCGCTATCAGTTCGTGACCATCGACATTTGTCGCCACTGTGGATCGGAGAACAATTTGCCACCTGGCGACTAGGTTCTTTCTGGGATTTTTGAGAATGCTTCATCCTTTGCTGGGCCTTCGCAAAGAAATGTAGACGCTCTCTATTGATTAATAATTGATTATTAAGTGACTAGATATTAAGAGCTATTCCCCGCACGCTTGTTAATGTTTATCACTGCCATCCATCTCTTCCATGCTTTAACCAGTTGTTTCTGAAATTTTGCAGTTGCTTACTCGTATCCTTGTCGTCGATTCATTCCTTTTCATGTCATTTACCACCACATCCTTGTTTGGAGGTTGTGTATCTGCTTTTTTGTGTCACGAAAGTATGAAGAAAAGCAGTGGAAAATGTGGAGTGTTGGTTGATCGCGTGGGCTTGTTCGATACAGAGTTTTTTCCTTCTCCTTTTATCCGCTATGCGAGCCAAACACGACTCGATTTTTCAGTGAAAATGATACTCGGCCTCGAAGCTCACTAATTCGCTAGATAGCTCCAGTTAGGAGCATAGTGTTTATCGTGAGGCTATAAGGGAATTATAATGAAAATTGCTATTTGGAGACGACAATGTGCCTACAGGGTTGTATTGATGCAAAAAACCATCATGTACTCGCTTTTACAGAGTAGTGCTTCACACTTGAACCTTTTTTGTTGAACTTTTGAACTGTGCTAAGTATTCGTCTCGAGGACTATGTTGCACCTGCCGTTAGCCCATTAGGCCAGCGCTTTCAATGAGAATGTCGGTAGAAGCAGGTGGTTGGACGGGCTAGGCTGGTGCGTTTGCATTACACAGCTCGGACGTAACGTTACTCGAGAGGCGCTCTCATCGAATGTTTGCATTGCATCTTCCGGCAGAAGCGCCAGGGATTTTGCACGGGTCTAGAAAAGGACTATTAACAGCCATTATTTGAAATTGCTTCATATCTGTTCTCTAAGCTTTCCTTTACCTTCTTTATTTACGAGGTCTAAAAATCATGTTCCATACAAGAAAATGTTCGGGAAATTATCCAAACAGATCGATATAGTAGTGCATTCGGGAAGTTCTAGATGAAAGCAGTGTTTGTTTATGCGCTAGTGCACTTCCACTCGACAATGTCAAGTATGCATAGTGGAAGCTTATCTTCTTGCACCACATATCACATTAGAAATAGTCTTCTTTGATGAATTGGAAGCTCCAGAACCAATACCATAAATTTTTGTCTTACACCCTGCAAATACTAATATTAACAAAGAGCGCAAACACCTATTCTGGGTTATCTGGGCAGGATGGCCTGGGCCGAAAACCTGAAAGGGCTGTAGTGCAGCTATGTCTGGATAGTAGTAGACGGAATGTTCGTTCTGCTGTGCAAAGGACATCAACGAGGGTTGCAATAACTACCTCGAAAACAACATATTTGTTTTTACCAAAAACAATAACATTCGTCTATTTCGATCATCCTTGGTTCTTCAGAACTCTTTCGTACATCCTTGTTTGAACACGCGTACGTAGTGTGTGAGCGAACTCAGTATTCTTTCACTGCTACTGTTGTACACAGAGTAAGTAACGATTTGTTGATTTAAACGCCGATTCCGCTCTGCCCTCATCAGATGGCAAGAATGTTTGAATGCACGCCATCCTTTCAACACTAGATGTAGTTAGTTCCTCGGGGAAATGAGCCAGTGTTATTCAATTTTGGTATCGCCCACCAGTTTTTGCCTTCTAGTTTAGGATTTACCCCAACTCAGCCCCAGAGTGATTTTTTTCCTCTTACTATAGCAAGGAATGTGAATTGTCAGGTAGGAGAAATCATCCTGCACTTCAAATCCACGTCGTTGTTCTTCGTTTACTTCTTTAAAAGAAGGTGGTGAACAAAATTTTTACACTTGCAGAAAGGGTGGACCTTGTAGTAGTAAATAAACTATTTGTGTGATGTTTGCATGAACTTTGCTTTGCTATCCACAGCTCCAAACTTGCACAGATGACATACGTGGAGTCTTAGTCGTGAAAACTTAATTGCTCTGTCTCTTACCGATGTTTTTCTTCCCATAGTGTATCTGATATGCCTTTTTCTTTGCTGGGCCTGTCATCTAACATTGCTGTTGCAACTACGGTAACTTGGATATTCTCCCCTCTGCCATAGTGCGCATTGCTCAGTTGGTGCAAAATCAGTTGGCACAACATATTACTGAAGAGAAGGGATAAATTTCATGACGTTGGTCAAACTCATGGCTATACACTGCTGTGTCTTTTCCTTATTTCTGGATCAGTGATGCTAATTTGATCTGAAAAGTAACTCAGCGATTTCTCGTAATCTTGCTTAATTTTGTCTTCCACAAGTTTGTAGTTTTCCTGAATTCCTGGAGATAGGAGCTATTGAGGGGTCGTCGGTGAAGACTTGCATGGTAATTGTACTATACCATGAAGCTAGAACGATGTTTTAGTGCAACAAGTCGAATTACGAAGTTCCCGATTACGAAGTGTCAATTTTGGAACCGTAGTGGGAATGATAGTCGGTCGAAGATAACAGTCGAAGATAAGGTGGGCCGGACACGTAATGCGTATGAATGACAACCGATGGACAAGAGCCGTTAATAACTGGATTCCTCCGGTTGTCAAACCTACTGCAGGAAGACCACCGACGATGGTCAGAGCTCTTCACAAAGAGCCTTAAAGAAAGATATGATGCTCGACGAGTCCTTAGAGCAAGTAGAACCCACAGGGCTACTCTCGCACGCGACAGGGAAAAATGGAAGATTTACTGACGCCCGCTCGAGTCACTCAACGATCAACGGGACTACAGGTGACAGGTGATACAGTGGGAATGACATTTTCTTCTTGCAGATGGGGGAACTATTTAATTCCCCAGGTAGAATAGGAGCAATGAATGCACCTGGCCTAAGACTACGCACTCGGGTGCTATAGTTGTAGCTTACTGTTGTATTGACATTAGTATTAAGATTTCGAAACCGACTTCCCCTGAACCTCGGTGTGACTAATCAATATGCATTCTTTCTTGATAAGCTCGCACGAGGTTGATAAATATATTTATTTTCGGCTAACGTTTCGACGTCTTCGTCTTCCTCAGAGCCGATGATCCGAGTCGATGGTCCATGATTGTTGTTCGTCTCGACGTTGCAGCTTCGCCTTCATGTCGAGCCTGGTCTTCCTCAGTGATCCATCTTCTCGAATGAGGCATCCTCACTCAGTGATGCCCTTTTATACACGATGCTGATGGTGGATATATAATGATAATGTCTGGTGGTAACAACTTGTATTTCTTCCGGACATACATCATTGCGGACATCGTGGAGAAGTCGGTGTTTTATCAGCTAGCACTCGGATCATCGGCTCTGAGGAAGACGAAGACGTCGAAACGTTAGCCGAAAATAAATATATTTATCAACCTCGTGCAAGCTTATCAAGAAAGAATGCATATTAGTATTAAGATTTTTTTCTATCTAAGAAAAGTATTAAGTAGAATAGAAAATTACCACTCATCCTATTCTTGACTTCGGGTTGATGATGGAAAATTCAGTAATCTTATTATTATTTCAATTTTTTAACGTACGGCCTATTATTATTTTTTGCAGTAGGGTATGATGTGGAATGCAACTACTATGATGCTGTGATATTGGCAAAACTTGGACACCGGACCAGATCGAACCGCGATTACACTTTCCGGTTCGGTTTGTCCTGGAGTCCAAGTTTCGCAAATATCCTAGCATCATAGTAGTTACAAATCATATTATTGTTTGTGAATATTCTAGAAAAAAGCACTCTGTAGGGGTTTTTTGAGGGCATGTGTAACGCAAAATAATGAAGTTGAGTCTAAAGTGATTGAATGAGTGGTTCCTAGGAAGAGCCGATTGATGATGGAACGACCGAGTTCTATAGCGGCGAATGGAAGAATGATACACGTAGTGGATTCGGAGTTTGTGAGCGTTCTGATGGGTTACGGTATCAAGGCGAATGGACGAACAACACAAAAAATGGCTATGGTGCAACCACGTTGCGAGATGGCACGTAAGTATTTACCCATCGATTATGCTCTATACCTTCAATTGAACTCTGACTCCTGAGATCAGTAAACAAATCTCCTACATCGCATCAAATCAGATTAATCGGTTACCAGCTTTAGTGGGTAGCAGAAATGCTTGCACTTATTCCTTCTAGTCTCTCCCAAACGGCATAGTGTGCTCTAGAGTCGAAAAACAGGATGGAGGATCTGTTTTTGTTTGAATGTTTGGAATTTTTGTTATAATTTTTAATCCTATAATTAAGCCTATAATTAAAATTCTTTAATATGATTTTTTTGTAAAGAGGGTTACTGAGAGTCGCAAGTAGTCCTATTCCTAGCCGTGTGACTTATTCATTGAAGACCACTCTAAACCGTGTTCAACCACGTCAAGAAAGAAGAATAACCATCACAGAACGCACTCCACTTAGGTCGTAGGGGAACAACACTGTTTTAGAATAGAAAATATATAATATTTTAAGTGTATGGAAACACAAAGGCGGGGAAATGATAGAATCTTTTCGTACGTCATTAATTTGATTGTTTGCTAACCTGAGTCTATAATTTGGTGGTGGTCATGTAGACATCTATGTACATAAGATCAAAGAAGTCAGTAGAACAGATGGAGAAACGCGCGAGCCACTACCTTAGCCTTATGCTTGCATACACACTGCAAGCGGTCTTTCTTTGCTATCCTCGAACTCATGAACCCCGTCATTTTGAGAGAAGTAATATCTTTTTTACTGCAATTGGTTTCTGCTCGGTGTTCCACCACTCATTGTTGTTTTGTTGATTTGAATTCAGTGGGCTCGGCCGCAAACCATCCAATCATCAATCGCTACAATTTGCTAACTTTTTTTTACATCACACAATTACTGCGACTTTGCGAAATCCGTGTCGAAAAATTTCGCCATCCTCTTTCTTCAATTTATTAATGTTTTGAATCTATTCGGTTGTTTTTTTCTTTTCATTTTTATATGACCCACGTTTACTGTGCGGATCCCAACCACTTCTCTCATTCGATTCGTTCCCTCGCATCCATCGTCCACAAAGATCTTCCAACTTTACGTGTGGCTTCGGTTGCTGCTTGAGGATCTTCATTTCATCCTGAATGTCGTAGAATGTTGGTCGAGCAATTCTCCCTGAAGTCTTGAGATAGCCGGGCTGGAGCGTTCGCAATTGGATTTCAAAGTGATTTTTTTTCTCCAGACAAGTCCGGTACCAGTTTTCTGACCCCGAAGGAGTAGAAGGCTTGGTTGGCTCGGAGCGGAATCAAACTACCACTATGCTCGTGATGACGGACATCACTACCACTGTGCTATCTGCCTTCGGTGGTTTTATCTTCTTAAAAATTCAGAAACATAAAAGGCGAAATGATAAAATAAAACTAACAAGATTAAAAAGTTTTATTACTCACAGCTCGATAATCAGAAAAATGGCTGCGCCTTCAACACCGAGGTTTTGTCGTATGTGTGTCCAAAGACTAATTCATTACATTTTATTTGGGTTCGGAGGATAATATATCACCTCCATCACCTGTCTCTTTATTGATTGTTGAGTAGCTTGGCCAAATTCTCGTAAATTCTTTGTTTACATTTGTCGTGTGAAGGAATATCCCGATTGCTTCTACTCGGTTTGTGAAATCAGAGAGCATCGTGTTCTTTTTAGGATCTTCGTGAGGTGGTGTTACCATCGAGCTGGTGGTCTTTCTGCTGTGTGGTTGACTGAGTACTTACTCGTTAATGGCTGTTGCCCACTGGTTACCCTTCAGACCGGTCACGACTCTGGTGAACTTGATTCTCGACATTTTATCGTATAGATTGACGTGTGGTTGCTGGTCATTGACAGTTCTTCACAAACAATGTAACATGTCGGGCTTCGGAAAGAAGAACAGAAAGCAGATGGACTTGTATATCAATGAGAGCCTGATGGAAGGAAGTGATCTGTTCCATTGCTCTATCGTTTTTTAGGAAACAGACTGTTCTGTTTGTTCGTCAAAGGATACCATATTGACCTTGCAATTACCGAAATCTCGATATGCTTCAGAGATGGTCATCACATGTGTGACGCTTCAAAAAGGATTGCTTGCAGTTCTTCTTTTTTTTAAAATATTCTTTTGTCACTTCTTGGCAGAGCTTCGCAAGTTTTCGGATGTAAGTTGGTAGTTACTTCCGCGTGTGACTTCACATTGGCATCTCAGCTTCAGTGTTTTTGGAGTGAGGTCTTTTAGTAAAGTTCACGCTCGCGACTTCATTTAGCTCTGCCTTGAAGTTATTGGATAAGCCAGTCTTGTTCTTCATCGATGTTGTCAGTAACGGTATCTTTCCCAAAGTTGACCAAAGATTTGGACAAATCCCAATTTACGATACTATAGGGAGGGCGGTTACCTCTGCTAAGCAAAACTTTCAATTTACTTGATGTATTCCGTTTTGTTTGGTACTCTCCAATAACAAAATCCGATTTCCAACATTGAGAAGAGAACTTCCAGAAGTGTAAATTGTCATAAACGGTCTAGGTGACGTTAATAAACTCAGACAGCCGCTCTTGCTGTTCATGTAATCCAGTTTTTGGGTATAGATGAGAAGTTCTTCAGAAGAATTTCTGTGGAGCTGTAGTGTTTATGACAGTGATGATCATCTTGTGGAATCTCTTTTTTGTAGAGCTCGGAGTCCACAAAAGAAGCTTCGATGTCTTCTTCGCCATTATTGTTGGTGGTGTATGACCAAGGTTCTCAGAGCTGGTATAAGTTCAGATCTTTTCAATCGCAAGCGTTCAATTCCTCTTGTGGGTTGTTCGGATAAATCGATATTCATGGCCAAACTCGTATTGATGGTTTTAACACCTTCGAATCCTCTATTGCTGTATTTTTTCTTCCAAGGAACACTTCTTCTCGTTTATCGTAGACAGTTTAAGTGGGCGGTGTCTTCTTCCCTCGGCCAATCCAATGACGTCGTACCTAATCTTCTTGGCATAGATCACCAGGTGCTCGCTGGATGATTTAGATGCTAGGGTGCGTGAATTAAGTGTACCTTAATGCTCTCAGATTTCAACAGCATGGAATCGCCCTGAGATTGTGGCAGTACCCAACGTTGCCGAATCGGTGTCTATTTAGGGTTCAGAAGAATGAAGCCTATTATTTTTATTGTTTGATACGATTAATACACAAGAATAGCTTACCGAACTTTGGTGTAAGGAGGTCTCTGAGTTGCTTTCTAGTCCTACTTAAAACAAATGAGGAGCTTATTTGTTGGAGGCGTCTACTAACCACTCCAGTACAGTTCCCAGTCAATAGCTTACAGGCTTTTGGTCGTGATAAATCGCGTTCGATCCTTATTTAATCCCCAATTTGCCGTCTGCAGAAGGGCTACGTAGCTTGGCGACCAACCGATTGAAGATCCATCACTATGCGAAATCGGAGGCAATAGTGTAGGCGTTTAAACCATCGCACACTGTGTGGTCTCCTTTGTTAATACATGTGACATAATTCATGCAAGTGAAGAATGTGTGAGCAGTAACTATTTTTTGAAAATTGCTGATGAAGTGCGGAGATCGAAAAAGGAACTATAAATATAAGTCTATGAAAAATCATTGTTTACTATCTGTGGTGTTTTTAGTCGTGAAGAAGGCAAATACAAGAACAACGTTCTCGTGGCATCTAGCCGTCGGAAGGGCATGCTGTTCGTGCGAAGCAACAAGTTGAAGGAGCGAGTGGAGGCAGCCGTCGAGACGGCTATCAGAGCGGCCAGCATCGCGCAACAGAAGGTCGGTCTATATGTCCGAAATGCTACCTCCTGTATAGGCTTGCTCTAGGTTTAGTAGCTACGGACATTCACAGCTAGAAAAGTATTAATGTACTGATAAAATAAGCAGTCAGACACCTAAAAAGCGTTTTCGATTTGCTCTGTCATTAGAACGAACTCGTTGCACTTCTCTACAAATCCCCATTTTTCTGTTGATCTAATGCACACGAAAGTAAAATCATCTACAGTGATATCGATCGGACTGGGTGCTCGTTGTCGTGCCTGAGTTGTTCGCTGGACGAAGCGTATTTATCTTTACGCTGTTATAATTTTCCTCTCACTGTGCAAGTGCAGCGCTTAATCTTTACAACACTAAGATCTCAGTAGGCTGGACTTGGACACGATTTGTATGATCTCCTATGCCACCTCTACAAATTCGTTCTGGAGTCATGATTTCTTTGGGATGCCGTTTTACACAATGTAACATTAAAACCCGCCACGAAGAAAGATAGTTAAAAAGAAAGTTAATGCTCTCCTTGCAGTTTATCACCAATCTCTTTGGTTTGGCTGTAATCTCTTAGCTAACAACTATGATTTCATTGTTCTCTCATGGTCTGTTAACTCTCCCCACACACACATTTCATAGGCTGTTGCCAATCAGGTGCGCGCTTTCGTTAATTTTAAGCCTCAGTTATTAGTCAGCTTGCCTCTAACCATAGGTAGGAGGGATAAGTGCAAGTCCATTCGATTCTTCTTCACTAGCTAAGCTGTGCTGAAAGTTATGATCACTGGCGAGTTTGAAGACGTCCGTACCTTCATACTTGAGTCTGAAATTTATTGTCTAGTGTTAGTTGTACGTATGCTACCTCCATTTCGCGATGAATGTTGGTATAATGGGTGAAACCTGGTTCAAAATAGCAATAAGTAAAGGATTAACGTCCTAGTTTACATAACTAGTGGCAGTTTCCTATATCCAGACTATCAAGTTTGCTACCGATTATAACAATTCTAGGATCCACCTGTTTTCGCGCATCATTCGATAGGGTGGTTTCTTGTGAACTACCAGGCAGATCCCAACCGTATACTGAGAAATGTGCAGTATTTTATGTAACAGTTGTGGATTAATTACTAGTATAACTGAATTCTGATCTCGCATAGACTTCAGTGTAATAGTGATAGCTTGAATTACCGCTTTGAAATCTGAATCTTGCTCAACCCTCTTTTCTTGGGGCGCTTAGCGCATGTTTTAAACAATCTGATCAGAGTTGTTGTTCTGAACGCCTTGAATTCCATATGCCCTTGCATAAGAGCCTATTTTTTGCATCTTAGCTAAGAATAACTGTTTCTTTTCTTTTCTTTCATTTGGAAAAAGAAGTGTACAGAGTGCAGGGTAGGGATTATTTTCTCGTGCTGCTTTTAAAACGTATCGGTACTTTCGACAATACCGTAAGATTTGGAGCCTTTCGTAGGCGGACATAGCAGTGTCGCGGACGTCGACAGCTAAGGAACGTGCGGAGCAGGCGATGTTCGTCGCAAAGCAAGCTCGAGACGACGCAGAGATGGCCAAGCTCGAGGCCGAGCGTTTTGACCCCAGTTTCGTACCTCAAGGTTAGTACCTTTTGGACAGTTTTCTCTCTTTGCTGTCATAGCACAGTTTCGTTCCCATGTTTTGGTTTAAAAAAGTATTTTACTGTGCGGTCGTTAGGTTAATTTTTCATATCTGAAGTTTTGCAAAAGATCAACAGTTTTGGTGATCACTTGTGTCACCTGTAACCACACAGATCGTCGAAAACTCAAGAGAACACCAAAGCCTATGTCAAAATCGCAATCAAGAAATGCTCAGCGAGCGCTAATGACAAAGAACATCGCAGTTTTATATGAAGCTCTTTATTTCCACATTTTTTTGGTGGCGACGTATCCACTGGCAACTCGCCGTGCTCTGCCTTGGTTTCTAACTAGTTAGGTTTTCGCTTCGGAATGCAGAAATCCTTGGCTTTGCTAACCACCACTGTAGATCGTACCTTGCAACCTAGGAACGCTCTTTCTCCAACAGCCTTGAAGGTGAACATTTCGGGTGGGAAATAATAATGTTCATGGCAATAATAATAATGGTGCCCATGTAGCGCAGTGGTTAGAGGCGTACACATGGCATCGATCTCACGCCTCAGGCTCACCAAACCTTCCATCTTTCCGGGGGCGGAAAATTGCTACCAGACTTCTCCGGGAGGATAACAGCACTAGCTTGACACATCGCTAGACTACCGCAAGTCATTGTATGGACTAAATATGCATTTGATTACATTTAACGTTGCTTGATGAAGTCGGATCCATGACGTACCTCTTAGGGATTGATCAGCGCTGAGAGCTTTATTTTTCACTTTTTAATGAAATTCTTTATCCTTTAAAGTTTTAAATTTCTCATCAGGATACGAGCGCCGGCGTTACTATGGCGAGAATTCCGGTGGTGAGTCTTTCGGGACCGACATCTCGGATCCGCACTCCTATTCACGTCATCTATCGCAGCCTCACAGCAAGCAACACTCGTTTGAACAGGTGGGCTCCAGTTGTTCGCGAGTTACCCACAGCTGTATTTGAGTCCGCTTGTTACTTCCTTTATTTTAGAATCTGTCTGTGGATATCGCTGATCCATCGTACCTGACACCACTAGTGCCTCCCCTGCCGCCTCAAATGAGTGGTAGTGTCACTGCGTCTGGTCAGTCTTCCCCTCTTATAGGAAATCATATCGGCTCTCAACAACCGACAGCGTACATGGTGAACCACGTTAAGTGAGTGGGATTTTCTCGTTTCCATTACTTCTAGGCTTTATGTGCACCCAGAGAGCCATGATTTGGTGCATATGATGTTTCCAGAGGAAAAAGTCACGATGTAAATTCGCCTAGAACTTCCAGCTTCAACCTGCCTTCAGCCGTGCACACCGGAGCACATGTGTATATGCAACATGATGATGTGATACTTGAGAACTACACATCGCCTATGCCACATGAGGTAACCGACTCAAGTCAATCTCTGTCGTATTTTTTCACCACGTTCAAGTTAAAATCGTAGTGACGATTTCTGCATATGACATGATACGATGGTGATGAAAACGCGTGTTGCACATGCATCCAGTCGATAGTGTTAGTACGTTCGCTTCTTTGTTTGTTAAACTTACAAGTTGGCCTGACTACGTGAACATTTCCGTGGAGTTAGTTATTTGGTGGTAAACTCGTATGCAAAGGACCCCCTCCTTTGTCCAAGAGGTGGTTGTCGTAGGTCGCTGTGTAGATTGAATCGGCTACCTACTAGCAGCTTGTCTCTTTAGTTTATATTTGACATATTAACATGGCGATAAACCTCAGTGGAATCCATGTGTATTATGGAATATTCCCTTCATTTTTATTGCAAAGGAGTGTTGAAAATGGGAGGATTTCCATGGGGAATATTAACGTCTCATCAGGATACGTGAGCAGGCTTCTGAACCTCGAATATTTCTCAAAGACGTTTTTGGACGCTGCATCGTTGTGGTTTTCTCACCGAGTAATTGTCTAGATGATTGAGATACTTACAATCGATTGAAGAAGTGCTTGACTAACATGTGGAAGATGCAGAGCTCTGTCGTAAATCAGTTTTTATAGTGTTTACAGTGTTAGTTGTATGACAGAGGTCAGGCGCTGGTGTGCTATAGAATTGCTTCCTTTTGACTGGTCATTGCCCATCGCAGACTTCGATAGCTTGCTTCGCTGTAAACACTTCTCTGAAATTCGAGAAATTAAAGTGGATTACTTCATCTGTCAGGCGTGAATGTGTCATCATAACTTCTTGGTGAAAATTTGTGTTCGGTGAAGTATTTGATGTTTTATCTTTCTTCAACCGCTACTCTTTCCAACGGTTTACCACCTCATTGTGGCTGGGAGGTGTTCCTGGTTGTCGCGCTGCGATGTACATTTCTTCGGCAGGGTCTTCCAAGCTGAGGAGTCCGGCATTTCCACAAGGAAGTCCAGCTAGGAGTAAACCAATACCAAGAGATCCACCACCGTCCTGATATCAAACTAGTTGCCTGATGGCAAATCTCCCTCTGATCCACAAGAGCTGCCGCCACAATGACTAAACTAGCAAAACTCCGAGAAAGTGGATTTTATGTTGGAGCCCGTACAACCAGTGGAAACGGGCCCTCCATACATCGAAAATATCCAGATATCAGTCGCTACTCAGAACGGCGTCCGATGTTGTACAAAATACATTTCTGCCGCACGTCATTATATGATGAAGGAATGACTCATTTCTGTGCAAAAAATACGCAAAACAGGCTCAAAAACTGTGATCTCTCTAGTTTTCATACTACTTGTCATGTTACACCCAGTCGAACATCTGGAAGTGTTTGTTTCTTAATGGTACGACATTGTACTGCCCTTCCTCTCCATGATGATTGTATTCCACCCGAACCTTTGGAACCAACGTGCCACAATAACGTTTTTACTGGTTCACTGAGCAAATTCAGAGTGAATACGGGTCCTACTGGTTTCTTTATGTCCGAGTTTAGATTCTTACGTAAATATGCTCCAGTTAGTTTCTTTCGCGTTTCCAATAGACTGTTTTAAAAAATGAGGACTGAACTCTATGCCTTCAGATGGTCTACGGCATGAACAGAAGTGATAAAATCATCGCGAACTTTCGAATAGAGTGGAAAACGGCAACGGAGTAATGTTAATATGATATTTTTCATTGACTACAACCTAAGCCGTGTTGAAAAGACATGCGGGTTAATGATAAGCCTCACTAGTAAAATTTTGGTGTTAGTAATACTAATGCCTACGTAGAGAATCAGACTGCCTCTCCTGACATTTTTTGCGGGGCGGGATTTAATACCCCATTTTGATTCGCAGTCTTGCAACTGTCTTCCATCTTCGCCTTGTGGTGGACAGAATCGTGTCTTTGTTCGAATGCGCATCGTCTCCTCTTCAACTGGTTGAGTAGTTGAGTTTTTTATGGAACCCTGAAGCTGTCATGGTGGCACAGTAGAAGATTTTCGCCATAAGAGGTTGCCGAATTTGATCAGAGATTTGCTGCCTTACGACTCAGATTCTTCGAAGAGAGTACCGATTACTCAACTAGTTGGCGGACTAACCGAAGACGTTGTGACAAGCTGGAAGCGTAATCCAAATCCTTGTGTGTCGTAGTCCCGATAATAAGAGTGGTAACGGTTAAATAACAAGTAATAAACAACAATCAAGGAGGAGGAGTGCAAATTATACAGTAATATACAATCGGAGGAATAACTATTAGTGCAGTTTATGAGAAATTGTCTTCACTGAGTCTCAAGAGTGAATTGTGTTGTCTGAGAGCAAAATTGAGAGCTTCTTCATGCAGATTTTTCAGGACGTAGTAAAAGTCGTTCACCAACGAGATGTCGAAATGGCCGAACCACCTGAACAGACCCAAAAGGTGTCTGTTCCGGCTCCATCGTCCCTTAACCAAGGGATGATGAACAACCCACAAAGTTCGTCTCGATTTTCTCTCAGGTTCGTATTTCCTTCTATTTCAATTGATCCACTTGTACAAGTCCTTCGTATATCCGTGAGCTGGAACAATCATGATAATTCAACACCTTATAGGCTAAACTTGCTAATGAAGTGCTCTTTCACCTCTGTTATGCAGTTGTTAACATTTAAATTTTATTTGGGTGTTATTTTGTCGTTGTCCATTTATTCATAGTAATTTTATTAGGTCATGCTAATAGAGCCTTCTTTTCCATATAGTGACTGGTAAGCCTTTCGCTGTCGTTAATTCGGGTTAATAAGCGTTATTTTAGTGACGATCACTTCGATCAGTATGTGATGACCGGTACAAGTACGCAGCCGAAGCTTCGACGCAACCGACCTTCGTTGATGCGACAGAGTGACGTAAACGATGTCAGCGGGGTAAGTCGCCCCTCGGCGTAGTTCGTCTGTAGAGAAGCCTCTTTATTACTTGCTATTTCATTGAATTCCATACCTCAATAGGAGACACTTAATAGCGTAAGAACAGACGACACTTCAAAACGGCGATTTTTTAAATTATGGTTTAATTCCTGCGGTGCTCACCGATTTTCCTGTCCTTCCTATGCGATTCAAGCGAGTGGGAATTGCCCCTCTGCTTACGCCATGCTGTTCTTTAAGCTCTAGAACAGTTGTTTGCGTATTTGCTTCCACTGGTGTCCTCAGTTCGTCGTCGTTAACTTCATTGGGACGTCCGCAGCCTTCCTTGTCTCCAAGGTCGAAATCATCAGATCGGAATTTCCGGAACCATGTTCGCAGTGTTGATTCACCAACACTATCTTCACCCCAAACTTTTATAATATTTCTGCTGCACTACGACCGAGATTGAACTCGTAAAAGGAAATTTGACGAAGATTCGTCTTTGACATCTGAAATTGCAAAGCTCAAAATCGGTTAAGGGAAATTAATTTTTGACAAAACATAAAGACGGTTGAAAAGAGGATAAAATCAGCTTTCTAGTGATATAAAATATTGCAAGGTACAAAAAACGTTTTATTGGTAAAAATGCGTTAAATCAACAAATATTTTAAAATGCTCATTTATTTCTGAAGAACCAAATACTACGAAGAATCCGCTTGGTGTGGTGGTGAATGCGTTAGCCCACGGAAAGGGTGGTAGCGCGTTCGTTCCCTACCGCAGACACCTGCGGTCCGGAGTTTTGCAAATATCTCAGCATCGTAATGGTTGTTTCACCCTGCCATGAAAAATTATAATAGGCAGTAAATTAAAAGTTAACAACCAAATAGTTTTCGACGGATCAGAAATCTTTGCATAAGAGAAAGATGATTTTCGAATTTAATATCGTATGAAAATGGGAAATTATATATGCTGAGCTTCTACTTACTGAAAATCGTGTGATTTCCACTCTTTTTCCAGGTACTAAATCGTCGTTCTACTCTCGCCTCATCTCGTGATCGCCGGTTAGAACTCACACAAGATTCCAGTGAGAATCTGGGAAGTCTGCCGAATTTGGTCGAATTGGAGAACAGCGGTGTCAGTTCATCGCGTTATTTTCATATTCGCCATTTTCCCGTAAATCCTTGGTAAGGCAGGAATTGGTCCAAAGACACCTATCTTGCTTGGTGGTAGTACAGCATATTTACGCGTCTCCAATCACGCAAACCGTCCTCTCTAGTGGTAGATTGATAGTAAACTTTTTTTGCAAAATAGACGGGCAATTTCTGCCACTGGTTTGCTTTATAAAACTAATATTTTTTAAAACACATTTGGAAGTGAAGACTTCGAGTAGTTGTTTCAGATACGTCTTCGTCGAGAAGATGCGGCTCGTTTGGCATCGCAACGTCGTCAGGAGATACTTCGCGATCAGGAGGACCAAGCCCTCCTTAGGGCAAATCCACTTCGATATCTATTCCATCCTGCTTTCAAGGTATGTGTCCAGTCAGTGTTATATGTTTCCTCCTAAGAATTCCTCGTAAAGATGACAATACAATTTTCACATGATTTCGAAAATGAGACTGGTACATATTTATTTGCTTGTCACAGTTACCCTTAGATTTTTTGATACATATCCATAGCATTTGAACTGAACCCGTAGCGGACAGAGAAGCTTGAATAGGGTTATATGTGAAACACTGGTGAAGACTAAAATTATAGTTTTGATGCGAGTCGAGGATTTTAGTGGAAAAGAGTTATTTTCTGGATAGATCCTTTAAGAAGCTAATGTCTTCCATTCATTTTCGCTAATTGTCATCTTACGAAAAATGGTTAGCATAACTGATGTGCATTTATGTAAATGAAAGAAGTATGAGCACTATCACAGCTAGCAAATTTGTTCAACTCCTAATTTTTACGCTCATTCCAGGCGTGGCTGGTTCGTTGGAAGGTACCGATCTTCCTCGCAGCTGCAAACCTCACACTACTCTTTCTCTTTTACTATCTGCTCACTTACGATAGGAGACGTCGTTAGGTCACTTGCACAGTGCGCTGCCATGATACTTCGTCTACAGGTCTAGACACGCGCTCTGATCTACGACATGCACTTCGACCGACCGACTTTCACGTTCTGCCACTGACGACGACGTCGGTCGCCTCGCCTTCTGGTGAGTAGACGCTCCTCTCTCGTCTTCATTCCCATTTACTTTGCTCCAGTCCACTTGAATTCTCTATATAGGTTTAGTTGAGGTGTACATTCCTAAACTAAGAGCTCTTGCGCTAGAGTATTCTTGAGAATCACAATGGCACTGCAAACGCACTATGGATCGCCACACCTTCTCCTGCACGGGTCTTCTTCGTACCGAGTTCTAATGTCTCACCCTTTCATACACCTCCAAGCGATAGTCAAGCATATGGTGGGAAATTCGAGGTTGATGAAATGCACGCTTTCGTACCCTTATTCATACAGATGATGTACGGCGAACTATATAAACCGCTATGTATCCTTTCTTTGATGAGCTTACACGAGGTTGATAATGATATTTATTTTCGGCTAACGTTTCGAAACGTTAGCCGAAAATAAATATCATTATCAACCTCGTGTAAGCTCATCAAAGAAAGGATACATATTGTTTAGTGATACCGAAGTTCAAGGTTTCGAGATATATAAACCGCTGTTTAAAAGTAATTTCATCGATATTAATGGTCAAGAAACCACATCCTCGGCGATAATTTCCCATCTATTGCTCGATTGCGATCCAGATCTTTTATTTCTTCGCATAATGTTTATCAGTTTTTGTATGTATAGACCAAGGACATTTGGTGGGGATGCTCCGTCTGTACTTCTTGCTGACGAGGTCATCTTTACCAAATGGAATATTCGTAATGAAATATTACTAAGTACAGTTGACGAAGACTCTGGTGACGATGCATCGAACTCAGTGCAAAACTGCTGAGTTATTGCTATACGAACAGAACCTCGAATCTGTCGGGACATTCAATCCATTCGCTCACTATTTTTTGCTGCACATGATTGTATGTACTGTGCAACATCGTTCTGCCATTATTTTCAACCGTTTTGACCGCATCGCTATCCAGCAGAATAACGTCTCTTACCTATGTTTAGTGTCAGTAATTTCTTATTTGGAATGCAGCTGATTTTCGGCTCTTTCGATAGATTATTCTATTAATGAGGAAGTTGTGAGTTGTACATGACGCATTATTAGATGAGGTCACGAGGTACTGTGAAGGAGAGTGGGAGCGCTGGAAGCCATCCGGTAGAGCGTTTACCATATTTCGTCGTTATAAGCGTATCTCTAAGAAAATGTAGAATATTTCGCAGTCTCCAAATCCCACACATCACCTCATCGATCTCACAAATTTTTTATGGTATTTCTTGCGATGTGTATTCGTATTTCCTTGGAAAATTTTATAATATTATGGATCGAGGCCTTACAACAGAGTATCAATCGTTTATTGCATTGACCTTTGTGGGTAAAAATTCTTATATGCGTATGTTCTTTTGCAGAAGATGAGAAATAAAGTATAACATTTGTCCATTTCCTCCATGTGATAATGAGAAATGAGAGCCAGTTTAGTGAACGTGTTTAAATTGTTCAGCTTCCACGAGAATGTTATGAAGCTTTTACTCGGCTAACGCTTCGACGGTTTCGTCCTCATCAAAGCCGATGATCCGAGTCGATGTCCACAGTCCTTCGAACCCTTGATACGCATTCTTCGTCGTCGTATCGAGTCGGACGTTCTTCAGCGAAGCGCCGCTCAAATGAGGCAACTTCACTAGGCGATGCCCTTTTATACAGGACGATTGGTGTTGTTGGCAATGATTCTCCCGTGATAACAACTTGTTTTCTGGGACAATCCGTTCTGCAGAAGTCGAAGTCATCAGAAGCCAGCACAGAGTACAGACGAACATACCACATCGACAGAACGAAAGACAGTGGACATCGACTCGGATCATCGGCTCTGAGGAAGACGAAGACGTCGAAACGCTATCCGAATAAAGTTGTTTATCAACCTCGTCTTAGCTTACCAATGAAGACTACGTGTTGATTAACCACATCGAGGTTAAAGTCAGTTTTTGAAATACAGTGAGCGTCACTCAATTGGCAGAATACAACTACAAGTTTGGGATATCTCATCAACGTTTTTTTATTTCCAACCTGTATTCGCAAACTGGACATATTTTACACAGCGCTAGTTGGGCTATCCCTCGGACCAGGTAAGCCAAGGGGCGTTCCCGGTGAATGAACTGCTTCAGGCGAGCCTTTTATATGTACATTTGTGCAGATGCTCCTGCAATATTGAGTAACGTGCAGATTGCTCTCAGGACCTACTGTCATAGAGCCGATTTTTCTCGGGAATACCACTTGATCCAACCAAACTAACTAGAGCAGAGATACCACGCAGCTTTGTTGTAAATGTTTACCAGGCATCATCTCTATCGATAAAGCAATTTAATCTAGGATGTTTGAACCAATTTGGTAAGATACATCATGACTACATAGCTAAAATATACGACATATGAAGGAAATGATGTGGATTTCTTTCTAAGTTTCCCAAGAAACGATGTCGTACTCAGCCATGATTGGCGAAAATATTGAATCAAGTATCTATAAGCACTGTTCCTAAGATCTGATCTTATCTTCAAAAATGGTGTGCAGCACAAAAATGAATATATGACTAGGCCTTCTACACGAATCGTCCAAACCCAATATTCTACACCTCATTGAAATTTTGCAGGTTGGGAATGTTCGCTCTTTGCCGAAGTTCCGAGATAGGATATTTCCAAGTTGTAATTATAGGAATTTTCAAATATTTTCCCTGCTTCTGCCCTTTATTTCTGCACGAACCTTCGACAATTCTGCGCCAAATAGAGAGGTTGAATTGAACAATTAACAAAGATCGTTTAAAAGTGCTAATCACGCTTCGGAGATAAAAGCTCTGAAATAAGCACTGAGTAAAATCGTTGCAACAGGATGAAGTTAAGGACCAGTAGAAAACCATGTGCACTTTTACAAAGCAGATATAGTACAACAATGGCTGCAGCTGAGAGCTGGAGAACAATGATAAGGTATACACGATTTTAAGGAGCAATGAAAGCTAATCAATTGAGGCTAATGTTGTGCTAATGACGAATGAGCTAATGTTGAATATTCCCTATGGTGAAGTAAAACAGAACGCAACACCAGTGGAACGTCAAACAAGGAGATGAACAACGAGCCTATCAAATTAGCACAATTTTTTACTCGGCGTCAATATACTACTTCATTCTTGCCAGTTTTATGGTTGCAGACAGTCGAGGTCTAGAATAGAACAAGAACATAGTTGGCCGCAACAAAAACTGTGCAAAACATAATCGTCAGCCAAACTGTCCACATGAAGCCTTACTCATAATGAAATATAATTTACATAGTGGTGTAAGGAGAGCGTGTGGCGCGGTGGTCGAACGCGCCTTGCAACACACACGTAGAATCGTTACCGCGTCCATGGCCCACCAAAGCCTTCCGTCTCTCCAGGGTCGGCAAATTGGTACCAGACTCGTCTCGCAGTATAGCAGCACTGACTCGATACATCGGTAAGCCACCGCAAGTCATTGTAAAGGTCAGATGTGCATTCAATCACCTCAAAACGATGCTTAATGAAGTCGAATGCATGGCGTATCCCTCAGGGATCGATCAACGTCGAGAGCTTTATCCTTTTTTATTATAGTTCTGTAAAAGCGTTAAAAGCGTCAGATGTAAATCAGTTGTTTAAGGTTGCGCCATAAGTTCGACTTCATTAAGAGTAGCAGAGGACATCGAATACAAATCTGGCCTATACGATGATTTCCGGTGGCCTTCCCATTTGTCCAGTCGGCATTTTACCCTCTCGTACTGGTCTACTGCCAGTTTGCCGAACCCGGAGGAATGGAAGTCCTGGTTAGCCAAAGGCTCGGGATCGAACTATCAATTGACTAACTTCCTTGGACACAGACGGCCTATCTTCACGAGTTCTGCAGATTCCAGCACATTTTCCACTCGTTTCTTTACCTCGCATTATCTCCCATGGCGGTAGTTTGATTAGAGCATGGTGGTGGATGCGGGTCTCATACTGTGATCTGCAATACAACTGCAGCTGCTTGTACAGCTGTTTGACTTCGGTTATGAACTCCTCCGTCCAACGTGTAAGTGGCCGTCCAAGAGGACGCCTACATCCTCGTTGTCTCCACTCAACATTTCTTTTGATCCATCCGTTTTCAGACCTTCATCACAGCGAGTCCCGACTTTTGTGCACTGGAATGAGCAGATTTCATGAGTCTGGTAGCACATTTATGTCTCCAAAGATATGGAGAGCTCGGTTGGCCAAGTACCAGGGCGGAGCCATGGTTTTGTCTGCGTCTCTCTAGAATTCTTAATGACTAGGAAACTGTAGCTCGAGATAGGTGTAGAGGAAACCACAGGTACCCCAACGATAACTCTAGCGACAATAGGGTCCCGTTTATACTGCCCTTCATTTCAAATGAAGTAAGTGCAGCTATAAAACGCTGTTTAAGAAGGGTCGTTCTAGAGAAATCGGTAACGATAATTGAAATACCACCGAGTAATCTAAGACGCTAGCTAGTTCGTAACCGCCTATACGACCGTCTATGTGCAACGTAAAACTGCATAATTAGCCCTAATGGTAGAGACGGTGACTACATGAGTTCGGGTACAGTCTATCTGATCTCTTGTAAAGCGTGCGAGAACGAATACGTTGGCGAAAGGGGTAGACCACTCTGCGTACGTATAAAAGAACTCCTAGTCGGTAAACGTAAACCAAATACACCACTAGGCACGCATAGGACGCAGAGACATAATGGAGAAGATTTTGAAGTAGGGGTCACGATCCTCGCGCAAAACTCTAGAGGCATTCTGGATTAATTCCAAGAATCCGGAAATGAACCGCAAGGGGGAATGCCTCATTATCACGCGTGATATTGGGCAGTATACAAGCCTGTTATTTTGATGAGATGGGCACAATACAATTCCGTGTGAA